ACTATTCTCCAAAGACAGACACACATAATGGTTTTAATTACACGTATATGTAATTCTTAACTGCCATCTTTAAGCCTAATTCCTAAGAACTCTCTACATATGACTTAGCCTTACAGAAATAGAAGACATTTTCCATTTCACTAGGCAACAATACCATTAATTAGGAGTGAGCGCAATTTCATCAAAACTCTAAGAGCTTGACAATATATATATACCCGATACATTGCATTTCACATAATATTTCATTTAGCAAGCACCTTTACAAATGTATTTCTGTGTGAACACTCAGAGGATTATCCTACAGCACGTATATATTGTATATATTAGGTCATTTGACATGGTGACATGGTGGGGGATTGGTGGGCTAGGGTGGGAGAAGTGATGATATTGTTAGTATGCTCACACCCATAACCTACTTGAACTTGGATTTTTTTTTTACTTTTTTTTACCACATCATGTGCTGTCAATTTAGGTTCTACTTCTGAGTCACCCTGATGTTTTAGAATGTATTTTAAATTTCAGGTTTTGCATATTTGCATTCTATGAATAATGCATAAGCAGGACAGAATCCATTTGGCAAAAGTGCATGATTCCTGGGATAATTTACAAATACAGAATATTATATATTTGGATTTAATAACTTTCCTTATGCATGTGGAAAAAGGTATACCTATACAAATACCCATATGTACTTTATTTATTTCTATCCCTGTCCTGTTAACAGATGCATGAATTCCTGACTTCCACACAATTAAATTGATCAGTTTTTGCAAAACCTTATCTTTAATGGACATGAAATGAAAACTGTTCTGTGGGACAATGAACTGCAGGGTGTTTAAAGAAGGGAACAGACTATATGTATGTATGTGTATATATGTATTCATTCATTCATTCATTCATTCATATATTCCCCCTCCAATTGCATACAGATGAGGAAAGCCTGTTGAGGAAGGCCCAACTTTAATGGCTCCCTGTCCTTGAATTTCAGATTCAAGACCTCTTCCAGATGTAGCCCTGACTGGGAAGTGCACCCGTGAGTGTGACGAGTACGGCCACTCGGACTCCTGCTGGATGCCGGTCCGCACCTCCCCGGAGAGGAAGAAGAGCCAGCCCAAACTGTCCACCTTCATGCCTGTGGATGAACGAGGGAGCCAGGAGAAGCTGGCCAATGGCGAGGCCGCCCTCATGGGTGACCGCAACAGAAACCTCCTGAACAAAAAGTTGACCTCATCCTATGAGACCTTCAGCGCAGCTAGTTTCAGCAAGAATGAGGAAGCCAACCCTGAGGATATCCCCCTCACCAAAACAGGGGAGTACAAGCCATCTCCTGTCAGCACTCTCACTAGAAGAGAAGTGTACCTGTAGGCGCTGAGAAAGCCACAGCAGAGTTCTCTTCACAGGAGGAGAACGAGGGGCAAGGAACCTACCTTACAGAGCAAAAGCGGTTCATTAGAAAAAGGGGGCTACCAAAGAGACAAAGCTCTGCGCGCCACTCCCGCCTCCAGACCAGGCCTCTAGGGGTACTGTTAGCCTGATCGTAATGTACAATGTAGAAACCATCCTTGTGACTTGCATGTCTGACCCCCTCACTGATTCCCAGCACCTGCTCACCCTCTTCCCACCACCCTCCAAAAAAGAAAAAAGAAAAAAAAAAAAGATGGTTGCAAGTTTCTTCATTGGTAATAAGCCTGATTAGCAGAACACAACACACTCCCATCATCCCTAAGCGCAAGCATGATTTTAGTCACTTTGATTTCGTTCAGCTGTCATCTGACTGGTCAAAAGAGGTAGAAGAAGTCAAATATATATTTTAAACATAGTATCTGAATCGGATTGATCATTGGGAAAGGCAGTCTCTCAAAAATGATCGAGTCCCACTAAAGGCACAGTCTTCTAAACGGGGCTCTCTAAGAAGCACGTTTGGAAAATCACGACTTTAATATTCCATCAAAGACTGAGAGCGAAACAACACCCAGTCAGAGAGTGCAGTCCCAAAGTTGGCCTAGGTAGTTCTTTTCAAGCCAGGAACGTCAACTTCAGTTCCATACCTTCATTGGATATTCTAATCATACACACAGTCTTGACCACATGTGTCAATTACACTAATTATAATTTGTAAACATTATAGGTATATTTTTCAGAAAAGCATCACTAATATCAAGGAACTGGAACAATTGTGTCATTAAAAGGCCAAAGATCGTACAGCAGATCAGGGAATTCATGAAGTAGATTTGGTCGTGACTTGGAAATCCATTAAGCAACAAAAGCAACCGAACCCATTCTTGCACAGAAACGCTCAAACACTCGTTTATTTTACATTGTCTCCAGCCCCAGAAAACATGCATTTTCTTTCTAAAATGGATTTTCTTTGAAAGTTCAAAAGTGAAAATTAATGAGACGTATTTTTGGTATTATCATAGGCAATTAGTTGAAATTCAGGTTTAGTTTCAAAAGACACTATCAGGGAAGATTCTACTTCTTAAAATCATGTTTGTTGGTAAGGAGTGAAAGAAAGATACATTGGCATGCAGGCTGATGAATTAAGTTCACTATTATCATTTTGGAAGATGGGTTATGCTTGCTGGTCTCAATTAGCAACATTTCAAATTACCAGTTGCTTTTTTTATGTGTTCAGTGCCCACTTTTATATAACAGTGCATTAATTTTGAATCCCGTGCAGTATCACACTAGTTTGAAATTGACAGCATTGAAACAAGACGACACCCTAATTGACTTTGTCACTAATGCAATTTGAACGTCATTTAATATGTGTCTTAAAACAAATCCAGATTGCACATGGAAGAGATGAGTTCTGGGCAGCACCATGTCTCACAATATGTACATCTCAAGTTGAAAAAATATGCATTTTTTTCCTCAATGTAATATAAAGACACAGAATATGCAGATTTTTGAGTCACTTGCTGTATAGAGGATGATTTCATGCAATTGGAAATTGAGCTGGGGCATTCAGACAGAAGTGACAATCTAGGGACAAAATAGGGGACCACAGGGGAGGAGAACTAAGTCCCCATCACTGAATGTCTGTAACCTGGTGAAGGCATAGCCTTAATGGCTCTCTAGCAAACTGTAGAAACCACGTAGCTTTGGGCAGTTTCATGCTGTGCAGAATTTCTTAGGCTATAAAGTGAAGCAGCCTGGAATATAGGTTGTTAATTCACTATAGGTCATCAAAATGCTTATCTTTGAAAATCACTTCTCTGTTTGGTGGGGTGTTCTTTTGGGGCTCATTTTCTTATGATTTTTTTAAGTGAAGTTTTTATTTTGATGTTAGTTTGTGTATAATAGGATGAAAGAGGATGTGTAATTGAAACAAAAAAACATTGGACTAAAATATCAATAATTGAACATGTTCATGTTGATTATTCTTTACATTATGGAGAGATGCAATTCTAGTAATTTGTTAGGAAACTGCATCAAAGCAGTTCTGCCTTGTATAATCTGTAAGTACCTATTAAGACAAAATACTTCTAAAGATACTTATGAAATGTATACATATTTTTCTTGCACGCTACAGGAAATAATTGCATAACACAGGTGTTCAAACTTTTTAAATGCATTTTTTTTCTTTCTATCACAAGACACTTGAAACCATTAGATAGCTCATTTCACTCTATCTTAAAACCCTTCTGTTGTCTATAAAGCTAATACAGGTCATATGGACCTTCAGATTAATCGGATTCACATTCCCCAATGACATTTGCACCACATTCAGGACAGATATGTCATTGTCATTTAACTCGTGAGCCTCTCTTTAGAACTAAAATGGGTGTGAAAGAATAAAATTCCATGTACTGTAAGTATTCGCAGTAATTCTAGTAGAATTAGCTATCATAACATGTTTATTATACAATGAGCTGGCATGACACAGAAATATATTTTGTGTTTGTATGACTTTTATTTTGAATAGGTTAAATATGGTGCCACTCCATATATAGAGTGCTTTTGAAAAAAAAAATTTAAAAAGGAAACAAAAAATATAAATAAATAAATGAGTGAATGCAAAATAAGCAACTGTGCCTTTTATACCTGTTGTTATGGTAAAAAAAAACAAAAAAAACAAATGGTTGTTGGGTTTGGACAATGAGGGGAAATGGGCTATTCCCAACTTTTTTGATCCTGTATATTTATCCATGTTTATTTTCTGAAAATAATAAATAATATATTAAAAATTTGCCTTCTGACAAACTCAGATAATGGACCAGTCTTAGCTATCGTTCATCCATCCAACAAAATTAAGACGTTACTATGGACTGCTTATTTCTGACGAGAAGGCTAAAGCATTTATTGTCATAGTAACACAGGAAGATGTTATCAGGGGTGAAATCAGTCCATCCTGCAAGATAAAATATTGATTTCGAATTTCTATTCTTGATTTCCTTCTTGTTGTTATTTTTCTGTTAGCTGCTGTTCGGTTTTGGTTATACAGGATATCAACCATACTTGTTTTCTGTACACAAGGATCTCAAGTGAACTCTGCATGCACTATACATTAGGACACATTTATAAATTAATGAGTAACTATATAAATTTATGTGTTTTAAAACGTCTGTAGCTTCGATCTGAAACCATTATGAACCTCCAGATATCATTTCTGTATGGTTTGCGACTGGCCTGCTGCCTGAGTTTCAGAACACAAGGGAGGCATTATTTTTATGGAAAGAGGAACTAAGATGGGACTGACCGTGTCTGGCTGAGACTCACTCTAGAAAGGTGATTTATAAGAGAATAGGAAAGTAAAACACACAGAGCAGAAGAAACTGCCAAGAATCCAACAGCCATTCTGAAACAGTCATGAGAAATCTCAAGACCTAAGTAGTTTTCCGTATATTGTTATCAGTGATAAATGTACATTGTGTCCTTAAGGGGGACATAAAACGTGAAGATGAGCATGAGTATCATGGAGCTGGTCTGTTGTGACCCAGGCAGAGGTGTATGTAACATCTGGAGGAAGGGATCATTTTCCCAGCTACCTAGGGTTTACTTTCAGAGGACTTTTTCCTACATTTTAAGCACTTACATTCAGTGTGGTACGATCTGTTTGTAATGTTCACCATTGACTATTGTTCTGCTACTTGGATGTTGATAGTGAAGCAGAGAACAATTTATCATCGTTTATTATGAGTCACTATGCACGCAACTATGCTAAACATGGCGAAATGTATTAAAACACTCGTCCAACTATTTATGAAATACTTTACATAATTTAATTTGCTTTTGTACAGTTTTATGTAAATAAATTGCTTGTCATTTTTGTCTCTGCAAATTAAAATATAACATGGTCAAATGGTTTCACACTTGTAAGTGTGCTTCTCTGTCGACAGCTAATTCAGTTTTGATTGGACGAGCAGTGAATGGATATATGTACCAGTTTGTTTGAAAACGGCTTGATTTCTGCTAAATTAAGATGCAGTAAGGAAAATAATGCTGTAGCAATTGTTGGTTTGGGGGCAGGTGCATACCTGTCTTATTTCTTTGCCTTATAATGGATGGAACTTGAGTTCTTCAGTCTCATCAAAATAATTCCTGAGACAGCTAGCTGACTTTTAAATCGTAAATGTAGGAGAACTTATTATCATTAAGACTGATTTTTTTCAGAGAATTTTCACATTTTTAAGATAAAATTAATTCTAAGTCAAAATGTATCTCTGTAAAGGCAATGTTTGTTTGTTTGTTTGTTTTCATCTACAGCAATGACAAATTTTAAAAACTTAGAGACAAAAATAATTATGTCATGTGAGATGTAGAGAAAAAACCCAAAGCAAAAAATAGAATATTTACCTTGCTCATTTTTCTTTGGTTGAGCTTTCTTTCTTTTTTAAAATATATTTTATTGATTTTTTACAGAGAGGAAGGGAGAGGGATAGAGAGTTAGAAACATCGA